ACATTTGATTTAATATCCTCACTAGAACCATCATAGATCACACTTGCTGCATATTAAAAAGTTAGATCCAGGAATTATAATTCCAATCCCTAATAAAATAATAAAAAGCCAATATACAAATAGGTTGAATGGCCTGTCATTGTGAAAAATATAGGACAGTACAGATTTTGTACAAGGTGTAAACAAATCCTATATCACACATTTGAATCAACTTTCCTGCAAATCCATATCAAAATATAAGCAGAGTTGAACTAACTGAGCTATAAAGTTTAGACAATCCCTGAAACATATCAAGATAAACATGTCAACCTGAATTGGGTCCATCTTGGAGTCAGGGGTATGCAAAACTTATTTGTTTCCATCAAAATTTTCTTTATATATTTTTTATGCTGGACAAGGAACGTTTGATGTTTACAACTTTCTTAAAATTCCCCTATTTAGCTTTCATTTGGGTATATTTTTTCTACATTATAAATATCTGAATTCTTTTTTATATCCAACTACTCCAAGTACATCAGCTACCTTAGTGGTAGAATCTAGTTAACCTTATTTGATCTAAAAAATCTAAGGATAATAACAGTTGTATGAAAAACATCCAGGAAATCTCAATGATATAGGATAATCCCTGAAGATATCAATAAGAAACCATCTCAGTATTACTATTTAAAAAAGCCAGCATGGACGTATCCATGTTGTCATCATAAGCCAAGCTCATCTTCAGGGAGATTGTATTTTTGTACCCTCAAAATGAGCATTTTTAAATATATATATTTTCCAAATACCCTCCTTTTTGTGCATTTTTGAGGATAATACAGAGAAAGGCAAATACAGAGAAAGGCAAATACTGGTTCAGGCTGTACCAAAGGCCATTTTCACAAGTAATATCATTTATATCCCTTAAAATCCCCTTAAAATCCGTACAGAATTTCTTTTCCATCCCATGTTTGTCTATCTGAAACTTCACTCCCATTTGTAATTTTGCCTACTTTAACCTTTGGTGTAATGGGGAAAATGGTTTAGTTGCTTATGGTGATATAGATGAATTGAATTTTACATTTAAAGCTAAACTACATAAATATTTGTTATGTAACTTCATTCTGAGCATTTCTATTAGGTGTAATCTGTATAATCAAAAAAATTTCTTGTATAAAAATACACTTTTGGGGAGAAATAATAAACATCAAATCAAAGAAAAGGGGAGAGTTGTCCATCAATAAGTTGTCGATATCCTAGTATTGAAGGAAGGTGTGTGATGAGAAAGATTTCAACCCCCAAGATAAGCATGGGATGCAGGTTTGAAGGTTTATAACTTTTTTCATATTTTTTTAAGATGAAAAAAGCTATAATTAAGAATCAATGTAGCTGATGAAATCATTTCAACGATCCAAATATTTGTCTAAAAAAATGGTGTACAGCTGGTGGCCCCTAAAATTTGACTGTGGCCTCTCCAAATATGCAACTGAATTACTCTTTAATGTACTAAAAAGTGCTGATCCAATTCGTAAAAAGTAACCGTTCCTTCCATTCAAGCTAAATTCCCGATTAGTTTTCTAATCTCCATCTTTTTCTCTTAACCCTTTGACTCATCTTTCACCCAAGTCTTTCCAATGAATGTAATATATTCTCGCTGCCTTTAAATAATTAGATATTTGAAGTTTATTGTTGAGGAGATGGGCTTTTTTTCTTTTTCAGAGGAAATAGCCTTTCAGAGACTTGGCAAAAATGGGTTCAAGAAACAAGATTTTAGAACAGAAATCCAAGATATCTGTGGTATAATACTATTATAGTTCTTCCTTGAGTTAGTAAGAGGAAAATGGAGAATGTCTTTTTCTTCAGCAGAATAATTTTCTGCTTTCTGGTTTTAGCATTATTAGCCTGTCTTTGCTGTCTCTATAGTAGCAGGAAATGTATAAAACATAGACAATTTGGCTTTTAGATGTTGAAATTCTTCAAACAATACTGATAGGACATTATTGATTGACCAGCTTTCTCTGCCAGAAGACCATTGTTTACTAAATAAGGCGTCCATGGCCCATTAGATCCAGAGTACAAAGTCTAGGAGAGCAAAGTGGATTGTCATAAACTGGGGCACCCCCTTTTCCTCTCTCTGATGCCATTTCTCTCACTTTCAGTTGCCTTCCTCTTTCTGTCTTTTCTCTCCCTGAAATATCTTGTTGTTTTGTTTTTGGCCACTTTGTGAACTGAAAGGCTTTTAAAATTAATCTAAACTGAGGCAAGCATAGCAGAGTGCAAAATTCAAGATGACAACTTTGATAGCACAAAGCCCCACTCCTGATCTCCTTGTATTGACGTGGCTTCTATGTTCATTTAATTTTAAGGGATTGCATTTAAGACACCACAGAAATGTAGATTCCAAACATCCAAAAATATAGGTTTAAAACATTAGAGTTTCATTTGCTTCAAAAATTCCCAAAATGAGTGAGGGTGGGGGTGATGTTATGTTCATTTCAGAGAGTGCATTTCAAAACATTTCAGAGAATACATTTCAAAACACCAAGAAAAAATAAAGTTACCAATTATCTAGGATCAATATAGAAAAGTTCAACAATATGGCTCAATGAAAATCCTTTAGAGCTGTTAATTATTACCTTTATAGCTAGCAAACAAGCTTGCTAAAAAAAAAAGATTAGAGGAATCCATGTAACTTCCTGTAGGGTTTGTGATTCAGTATAATCTGTATCATGTTGGCTTGTTTCCTTTGGCGACCATAATCAAAACAACAGATAAAAGCTTCTGACCCATTGTTGAAAGAAATGTCCTTCTGGGTTCAGCTCCAAGTGGAGGGAAAGACACGGGAGACATGAAGGCAGCTTGGAAAGATAGTTTAATGGTGGATAGGCCACATGGCTTGAGTCCTGAACAGAAAAGGTGATCACATGCTTCAATGTTGGGTAGAGAAGAAGAGAGGAGAAGGGCTGAGATGCTGAAAGTCCCTGGTTTTATGCCCTCTCTGGCCTTTGATCTTGAGCTTGTATTCTGATTGGTTGTCAGACTCCCATGGGGCCATGCAGGGGCAACTCTATAGGCTGTGCTTTGAATCCAGGTTTGGTTGATTTCTCAGATGCCATGTGGGGAGTGAGTGAAGGCTAGTCATGCCTTAATCCCATCACCCTGGAACTGAAGGGGAGAATTCTTTATTATGTAAAGGAATTGGCTTAATCTTAATGGCCCATTGACAAAGAGGGATGAGCAGGAAGCTGCACGGAGCTATTCTGTCTTTAAAACATGTTTCTCCCTTTTCACATCCAGGGTAATCTGCCTTTTCAATATTTCCTATTTCATTTTTCTGGGAGAGGGCTGGGTGATAACTTCCTACACCATCCTAATGTGGACTGGTTCTAAAATGGCTTAAGAAAATTATGTCTAAAATGAAGTACATCAGAGGCAGCCTAGTCCTCCCACTTCCACATTCTTCACTAGAGTATTCTCCTGATATTCTGTCCTCCAAAATTTATATCTCAGGCATAAGTTAAACCTTCAGTGAAGCTTATTGGTATGTAAAGGCATGGAATTCCTAAAGAAGATATTAATTCTCATTACCATATTCCTTTGTTGCTGCTGAAGTTCTCAGGATTGTGACAAACTGGCATAAATATTACTGTCTGCTGTTCTCTCTTGCCTTCCTTCAGCCTTAGCAGGAAACTCCCTGCCTGGGTCTTTGGGCCAGCTTCCTGAAAGTGGTTTTGGATTTCTTTAGGCTAAGTAGTTAAGAATTCCTATAAGATCTGCTTGTATATCTGCCTCTTAGCTGCTTGATAGCAGAAGTGCCCGGTGTCCTTCCATATTATCAGTTTTCCTTGGACAGCAGGCTTCCCTTAGATTGACCATAATTTCTATCTCTTGCCCACAAGCACTCATAGGCTTCTTTACCTTCTTTGTCATTGTTCTGTTACTTCATTCACTTGTTTGATCAACAGTAGGCATCACTGCTGATGAAGTGATGGTCTCCTCAGAGCATTCCATCTAGACTGTGGATTTTCCGATAACGATAAAAGAGATTGCACTGTGTTGAGAAACTCCTGCTACTTTTTTTCAAGAACTGTAAGCACTGCATATAAGAATTCAAACTCTACAAGATAGTGGATGTAGTGTCACAATCCAAACCTTGTCCATTTTGAACATGTATGTGTTGATGTATTACAAAAGAGACAGGGTTTACATCTGATGCTAATCCTACATCTAGCCAATTTTCACAAACATATTAATACACGTGGAGGAAACCAGTTTCTGCTGTATGACAGTAACACTACCTGTGGAATAAAATAAACCATAAAGCAATTGGCAATTTTGAAGTCTGCAGTGGTAAAAGAATTTATAGACTGTCCTGTTTCCTTCAGTGATGATGATTATTTGGCCCCTGTTTGGAAACCAGCTTGGCACAATTTAGAAAAATGCCTTGCCGTTTCCTGACTGGTACAATCTGGGAGTTCCTTCAGTGGGCCATAGCACAGCAGATCAGGATTGTGTGATTAAGAAGTCATTCCAGATACAGTATATTTATTATTTTCAGTTGTAGATACATGAATAGAAGGAAGTCCCAGAACTTGGTGGCCTCAAACAACATATGAGACTCCAAATATAACTCAGCTTCAGAAAGGAAAGGAGAAGGAAAATCAGAACATAGAAGAGGAATCCTGTAGAGAATTTTGTACAAATGATATAAATCATAGCATTTAATTTTAAGAGACTAAACTTCAGCTAAATTTCAGCTATCACTAAGACAGACCATAGTTTTGATTTAGTTAACTTCAGCTAACTTAGTCTGTATCTAATCTGAATACCTTACATATGTTTATGATCCTCCTTCCTTCATCCAAGGAATTGAAGTCTAACCCATTATCATTATAAGTGACGCTGAGGGCTGATTGGTTTGAGGATTTTATTTATTTATTTATTAAAAAATTTCAAACAAAAATGAGAGCAAGAATAAAAGAATAAAAATACCATGACAGATATGATAGGCATGTTAGTGCACTTATGCACACCCCCTCTACTAACCACTTAAGTATGATGTAATATCCATGGAAGTAAATTTGTAACTGAAGCTGTGAAAAATTGTAGCTGAAATAACTGAATCAGGTAGAGCATCCCAAACTTTGACAATCTATTACAGAAATCATATTTTTTACAGTCAAGTTTAGAACGATTTATATTAAATTTAAAGTGGTTGTTAGTATGTATTATTGTGATTAAAACAGAAAAAGTCATTTACAGGTAAAACATTACTACGTATAATTTTGTATGCAATACCTAGGCCTGACTGCAAGCTTCGCAGTTCTAAGTTATCAAGGCTAGTAGCATAGTGAGTTCTATTATGTACAGAAGAGTGCAAAACTTCTTGTGAAATACTTCTGAACCCGCTCGATTGTACTGATTGTACTAATCCAAAGCAGAATATTCCAGCTTCTACTGCCATAATATTCCAGGCTAATCCTAAAACTAGGGACAAAGTCCAGCAATGTTCCTTGAAAGATCAGTCACTGGAGGAGGAATAGAAGTTATTGAAGAAACAATACATGAACTCTTCCCATTCTCTGTATACTTTCTTCCCTAAGAAGATCATGAGAAAGGGATGGACCTGGAGTCAAAAAGATAAGTTGACGTGAGCTCCTTCACCTTTGAAGCATTTTACTCCTGTTTCTTCTGGAATGCATGCCTTTTCTTCAGTGTCACAGATTTTCAGTTCATTATTTTTCTGTGACTGTTTGATTTTTCCTGCTGCTGTCTCTTCCATGTGGGTTCTTAGACGTGTTACCAATGCACTCTTCTGACAGAATCTCCTCCCACATTCCAGGCAGCAACACGGGTGCTCCCTGGTATGGATTCTCCGATGTACAAGGAGATCTGAAAACCTAGTGAATCTCCTTTCACACAAGGAAATAGTTTTTCTCTTGTGTGAATTTTCTGGTGCCGGGTGAGGTCCGATGGATAACTGAATCTGTAGCAAAAGGGGTTTTCCCCAAAGTGTGTCCATTGGTGTGAAATCAGATTAGAGCCCTGGATGAATTGTTTCCCACACTCGGCACAGGAAAATGGTTTTTCTCCTGTATGGATCCATTTGTATATTGTGAGGGTAGAAGAAGAAACAAATCTTTTCCCACATTCTAGGCAGATATAAGGTTTTTGGCCCGGGTGGATACGTTCATGTACTTTAAATGCTGACTGATGGCTGAAGTACTGTTGGCAATGAGAACAATGATAAGGCTGTTCTCCAGAGTGGACTCTCTAATGACTGATCAGCGATGGTCTCTGGGCAAATGATGCATCGCATTCAGTGAACGTGTATGATTTTCCCCCTGCATGAATTTTCTGATGTCTAGTCAGGTGGGACAATTGACTAAATCTTATCCCACATTCCATGCAGTGAAAAGCCTTGGCACCTGTGTGAATGTTGTCATGTTTCGCCAAGTCTGATAGCCTCACAAAACATTTCCCGCAGTCAATACAGTTGTAGGGTTTCTCCTTTTTGAGAGCCTCTTGCAAAATACCATGTGTCCCCTCGCCTTTGATCTCTTGATTCTGAATGGCTCCTGCTCCTCTGTCGGTGATTCCGGAACCTAGGAGATAGTGCAGAAAGAATTTCAGAGGTTGTTACTTAATGCACTGGTGTGATCAAGATCTTGAAAACCCCAAAAAGATATCCCAGTTTGTTAAAAGTTGTTTTCTACTAACAACAGCTTTAGATATTTCACTTCTATGTAATATGGGAACTTACTGTTTATTCTAAACAAGTTGCTTAGAAGATTCCAGAGATAAGCCAGACTACATGTTGTACAGCAGAGAATGGTAACTATAAAACTTGGTATTTTGGGGTAATGAAGGATCAGAGGCTGCAACTGGCAGGACAACAGGTAGAATTGAAAGGTTTGCCTCCTTTTTATACATGGATGGCTGTCAGCATCTAGCTAACCTTAGTTGATCTTACAGTGGAACGGAATGCATTATAAGTAGACCTTGACTTACAACCATTCATTTAGTGACCAAAGTTACAATGGCATTGAAAAAAAATGACTTATGGATTTTTTTTTTACACTCACAACCATTGTAACAGTCTCATAGTCACATGATCAAAATTTGGATCCTTGGCAACTGGATGTATTTATGGTCATAGGGTCACATAATCATGAAATCATATTTTGCAACCTTTTGACAAGCAAAGCCAATGGGGAAGACCGATTCACTTAACAATTGTGTTACTAACTTAACAACTGCAGTGAATCAGATAACAACTGTGGCAAGAAAGGCCCTTAAATGGGGTGAAACTAACTTAACAACTGTCTTGTCTATCAATGGATATGTTGGGTTCTACTTTAGTCATAAATGGAGGATTACCTATATTATTTGGATGTAAAATCAAGAAATCATCACCACCATAGGCTAGATGTAAAAACAAGCTTTGTTAAAAGGCAATGCCAACCTCTTCTGCATCATTTCAAAGAATACACAACTAAATGCATGGTGTCACTAGGTATCAAATTTGATTCAACTATAACCTTACCTTATATGATGCTTATAACACAGGCTGGGATTTTAATTTAGTTTTCCTATTTCGGACTTACTTGGGTATGTTTTTGTTCCAAAAGTCAGCAGTATATGGTGCCAGGAGTTACCAAAAAAGATTTCAGAAGTTGCAATTTCTAACTTTCCTATAGAAATCCTCTTCTTTTGAAATACAGCTAGGAATTTGCAAAATGTAATTTCAAAATGTTTTGAGAATGAACTTTTATAGAAAGGCCCATCCAAAGTATGAAAGGGACACCTCACAAGTGAAGATGGACTGACTTCCAGCATTTTCATACTCCAGTGATGGTGAACCTTTTCAGCATTTCCGGTGCCCAAACGAGAACGTGCATGCATGCATGTGCATGTCCATATGCCAAAACACCAGAAATCTGAAGAACAGCTGGCTGGTGTGAAATCTGAAGAACAGCTGGAGCACATGTGCATGCCAGCCAGCTGCTCTTCATGCATACCAGAGCACCGGAAGCCTTAAGACCAGCTGGCTGGTGTGTGAATGCCTGGTTTTTTGGGGCATGTTTTCAGGCTATTTTTGGCCTGAAAAAATGGCTCCAAAACAGCCAAAAAATGTTCGACAAATGGCCCAAAGACGGTTGAAAAAATAGCCCAGAAAATCCCAGAAAATGGCCTGTTTTGGGGGCATTTTCCAGGCCATTTTTAGACCATTTTCTGGTGCTCCAGCATCGTGAAGACCAGCTAGCTGGCGCGCATGTGCATTCTGGAAATCAGAAGAGCAGCTGGCAACAGCGTATGTGCCCATAGAGAAGGCTCTGTGTGCCACCTCTGGCACATGTGCCATAGGTTCACCACAGTGGTGGGTTTAAAAAAAAATTAGAACCTATTCTGTAGGTGTGGCCTGTTTTCTGGGAGTGGCTTGGTGATCACGTGACCAGATGGGAGTGGCTTGGTGGTCATATGACCGGGTGGGCATGGCCAAGTTGGAAAATGTGGTGAAACTCACTTAACAATGCTCTTACTTAGCAAACAAAATTTTGGCCTCAATTGTGATCATAAGTTCACTCTCTCTCTCTCTCTCTCTCGCTCCCTCGCTCCCTCCCTCCCTTATTTCTCTCGCCCCCACTTACTTTCTTTCTTTCCCTTCCTTCTTTCCTTCTTTCCTTCTTTTCTCTCTCTCTCTAACTTTCTTTCTCTTTCTCATTCTTTCTTTCTGTCTCTCTCTCCCTCTCTCTCTCTCTCACACACACACACACAAACACACACACACACAATTTCTCTCATGTCTGCCACTGACATCTCTCAAAGAGAAAGAAGGACTCCTGCCTTGGAAAGGGGTTGGACTAGATTACCTCCATGTTCCCTTGCATTCCTCTATATTCTCTGTCCCATTTAGTCACAAACAGCCCCATTCACTTTAAAGTTGGTCGCAAACTCCACTCACCCTATGCGCGCCCTGGTCCCATCCAAGGAAGTGAGCTGTGGAGCAGGGGAAAGGGGGGTGAGTCTGTGGCTCCATGTTTTTTGATCTTCTTCCCTGTCTTGGTTCTGCGGGCAGGAGGTGCTGCTGCTGAGGAGGTGCAGCAGTGGTGGCGGGGGAGTCGGGGCACTGCCCACTACCCACAGCGAGCCCAGGAGCAGTAGCCACTGCCAGCTGCTCCATGCCGCCATCACTCACTCCCCTTCTGGCTGTCGGCTGGGCACACAGAGGGGGAGTGGTGACAGCGAGGGCAGCCAAGAGGGGACAGGGCTTTGGGGGGCAAAGAAGAGCCAAACTGAGGGGAAAAAAGCTCTGCCAGTCGGGGTGCGGGTGAGTCGCTCCATGGCAGGAGCCTTTAATTATTTTTTTCTCTTCCTCTCACAAGAGTCGCAACAGTGGCAGAGACAGGAGGAGCAACAGCTTGTCATGCGCTCTCAATCTGGCCTGCCTGAGGAACAGGAGGGGAGTTTGGCTGTTTAAAAAGCCTGGCGTGGAACTTTCCTGTTCCTTCTTTTGCTGTTTGAACATGCCACGCGGGGTGCGCTGCCTTGTCTTTCACAGCCGCCTCATTTCCAATTGGGGGGGATCCATGAAGAGGGACAGAAAAGATGGATTTCTTCCCCCCAAATGGAAATGAGGCAGTTGTCAAAGCAAGAGAGTGCCCCCCCCAATGTGGCTTGTTCAAAAAAAAAAGAGGAATTAACAGGAGGGGGATTCGTTGGACAAGCCAACGGGCACGCGCTGCTCTCTCCTCTGACAGCTACCTCATTTCTAATGAAGGGGGTGGGGAATCCATGTGATTTCCTACCTCTGCATGGATTCCCCGCTCTCCCTCTGCGCGCCCAACAGCCAAAACCTCCCAGAAGGCTTCTGCTGGTGGGTGAGTAGGGGGGGGAGAGGAGCAGGCTAGGGCAGAGAGTGTTCTGGTATCGGGCCCTGGAAGCCCCGGTACAGGAAGGCATGCTAAATTATTTCAACCGGTACATGTGTACTGGCAGAACCAGCTGAAACTCACCTCTGGTTCACCATCATGGTCATAGTCCTTTTCAGAATATTGTGATGTAGAATGAAACACAGGCCTGATCATATGACCTTACACTGAGCTGAATAGAGAAAGACTATCACCACTTGCAAATTAAAGGCTTACCTAACAAGCTTGCTTTCCCATTATCATGTTTCTTGACTTCCTTGGCAAGAAGCCTTTGTCTGGCATCTGACATGGCCTGCTTGCCTTTGGAGAGATTTACAGCTGCCTCTTGAAATGAGTCAGACTCCTGAAATGACACTGTAAGTTAATATCCAAGCCCCTTTTTCCAAAAACAATTTTTAGCAAAATGATATCATGTCAACAGATAAAGCCAATAGAAATGAAACCAGCTGCAGATAAGAAGTCATGCATTAAAACATTAGCTATTATACAGAACACTGTTTAGGTGTTTATGAACATTTTGTATATGGGCAGAAATGAAGGAACCAACACCTGCAAACTCATTGGCATTAATCTTAAGTTTTACATAATTGGCCAAAGCATAAAGGTTCCCCCTGCTTTTTTGGAAGGGAGGAAGGCAACTGTAGGTCACAAGACAAAGGAAAATAACACAACGATTTCAGAAAAGTTAGGATTTTACTCCCTTTCCTACTTTTTTAAGGCTATGTATACATAAAAAATAGGGCTGTGAAAGTTGGACTATAAGAAAGGCTGAGCACCAAAGAATTGAGACTTCTGAACTATGGTGCTGAAGAAGATTCCTGAGAGTCTAGTGGACTGCAAGGCAATCAAACTGATCAGTCCTAGAAGAGATCAACCCTGACTACTCTTTAGAAAGCCAGATCCTGAAGATGAAACTCAAATAGTTTGGCCACCTAAGGAGAAAGAAGGACTCACTGGATAAGAACCTAATACTGGGAAAGATTGAGGGTGAAAGAAGAAGGGGGCGACAGAGAATGAGGTGACTGGATGGAGTCACCAAAGTAGTAGGAGTGAGTTTAAATGGACTCCAGAGGATGGTAGAGGACAGAAGGGCCTGGAGGAACGTTATCCATGGAGTCACAGTGGGTTGGACATGACTTCGCAGCTAACAACAACAATGCATAAAATAATATCCATCCCAATGGCAATTATTGTACTACAATCCTATGGGGTCTTAGCCCATTTTTTTAAGCTTCCCCCCATCTTAAAAAAAAACCATCTGGAAATTTTGCTGCTATCATGGCATCAGATGCCACTGTTTGTGCCTGCAAGTTGCCCAACCTGATGTCCAAAAATCCTTCTTGATTAGACTGCAAAGCTAAGCCAAAAGCTTCAAACTTCTGGATCCATTTGCTTTTTTTCATCTGGATATTTGGAATTTTGAAAATACATAACAGGCATTCTGAGGCATCATAGTATGCATGGCTAATTATAATAGAAGTAGTATGAAAGGACTGCTTCTCGTTAAAATATATAAATCTTCTGGTAGGGCAGAGTGTACAAAGAGGCAAGAAAAGTGTTGTTGGGCACACTAACAATATGGGCACCAACTCAAGTGGCCACACTTGAAACCAAATAAGGAGACCTACCTATTTTGGGGGCATTTTCAACTGAATGGCAAAAACCACAGTTTTGTTAAGAATCACTAGAAAGGAAGATTCAACCTTATTTTCCTCCTAACTGTCCTCTAGAAGATCAGAAGAGTTCTTTTCCAGACGATTTTTGCCATTGATTCTAGCAAACATTATGAGAGCAAAAGGTAGTGAGACTTGAATCTCACTGCTACTGAGAAATAGTATGGTGTGCTGTGTGTGCACTTCTGAATAACTGGGCTGAATCATAATTCTTCTTCACTTGCATAATTCCAAAGGGATCTGCAGAGTTCAGTGCACCATGTCTAAAAAAAAGACTTCCCTTAGTTAATTTGCATTAAGCAATACGCACATCAATGTGCCCCATGGCCAAATATGCAAATATCAGAGGTAAAGCTAGTAGTCTTTTCTCATCTTGTTTCTTCAAGAGGTTTCTTGTAGGTAGAAAAGTTACATGTTGAATATTACAAGGTTCCAAACCTGGGGAACAGGAAAGCTAAGGTTTTCTGAAAAAACTCAAGTATGTAATTGTTTCTGAAGTGTTCTTAACATTTCAGAATGTGGTCCATGTGTAAAAGTGGTGGTAGTGGGGAAGCATTCCACCATGGTGTCAATAACTTAGCTCTTAGCAACCCCAAAGACTAACATGATTGAACAAAATTTGTTCAGAATTTGTTTATACAAAATATCCTATAGATTGTTTGCATAACACTATTCACAAGACCAATATGGAGGACAGCTTTCGTGTATGTGTGTGTGTGTGTGTGTGTGTGTGTGTGTGTGTGTGTGTGCATGCGCACTAGAAATTGGTAAGGTTCATAAGCTTTGTGTATTCTGGCATCCTAATCATTGCCTCAGCATGCATTAAGTCATCATAAGGTTAGTTAGAGCGTAACCAGAAGTGGTATTCAGCCAGTTCTGACCGGTTCTGGTAAACCGGTAGTGGAACTTTTGAGTAGTTCAGAGAATTGGCAAATATCACCTCTGGGTGGCACTGCACCCATCTATTCGCTGCCTCCTGAGTACCAGCTAATCAGCGTCCCCACCTGATCAGCTGGGTATTCTTCTGCTGCCCTGCACAGGAGAATGGAGCTGGAAAGCAGGGTAGTGGGGGGGGGGGGGAGAAAATGGGGATTTTGCAGTATCCTTGCTCTAGAGTGGGGTGGAAATGGAGATTTCACAGTATCCTTCCCCTGCCATGCCCACCAAGCCATGCCCACCAAGTCATGCCATGACCACAGAACTGGTAGTAAAAAAATTTGAATCCCACCATTGCGCATAACTATACATGAACACAGTATAGGTAGTCCTTGACTTATAATCATTCATTCAGTAACCATTCAAAGTTACAATTGCACTGAAAAAAGGGACTGATCAGTAGTCCTTGCACTTACAACTGACCCAACATCCCCATGGTTATGTGATCAAAATATGGGTGCTTGGCAACTAAAATATATGACAACAGTTGTAATGTCCTGTGGTCATGGGATTGCCACTTGCAATCTTCCCAGCCATCTTCTGACAAGCAAAGTCAATGGGGAAAGCCAGATTCACTTAATGACCACATGATTCTCTTAACAATTGCAGTGATTTGCTTAACAACTATGGTAAAAAAAGTTTTAAAATTGGGCATGACTCACTAAGCAACTGCCTTGCTTAACAACATAAATTCTCGCCTCTGTTGTGGTCATAAACCAAAGATCACCTGTAATTTTATACTGTTAATCCATCTTGAGGCTGGATTAGCTTGTTGTGTGAGCTCAGCCATCATAAACCGAAAGATATATACATGTATGCTGCTAACACGGAGTGGCTTTTTATGCAATGCAATTGGTATTTTATCTTTCTGAAATATGGGTTACTCATTTTCTACACAATTTATGCAATAAATCTCCTCATCTGTGACTCCAAATTCTCCTGCTGGCGCAAAAGAAACCCCTCTGCCAAGGCAACAGCTTGGGCATAGGTCTCAGAACCTATGCCTTTGGCAAAACTGTCAGAAACTGCTCCAGAATTAGCAGCTCCAGGATCTGTTCCTTCGGGCAACTCTCTGATTCCAACCAGCAGTGGCAGAGTCCCCGTAACCGGCTAAAGACCTAACGGGGTCCCTCAACCTGCAGAGAACAGAAGAAGTGGAAGAGCTGCCACTGAATCTCAGCAGTACTTGAATTGTTGCTCATGGAAGTTGTTTTAATCCTCTTATGGTCCCCTTTGGCATTCAGATTACTTAAAATCTGTTGGGTTTCAGCCCCAAGAGTGGGCAGAAGGTGGATCACCCCTTCCCAAGACTACTGGCAGGCACCAACCACATGATCAAAGGTAGTCAAGTCCTCCCATAAGGTCAGACCTGGCAACTGTGAGGCTTCCCATCCTGAGATTGGATGTGGGACTGTTTTCAAATATTTTTGCCACTGACCTTTGAGGCAGTGAGGAATTCCTTCCTGTGTTGATATGGCCCACTGGAACAGATCTTGAGCATCGCTAGAATGTATTGAAACAGTGTGTTTTTCCTGGTCCATCAGACCCTTTTGGCAAATGCCTTTCTTGGGCCTCTTTTTCCAGCTTAGAAAAAATGTCAGATAGAGTTGAGTTCCTCAGAAGGAAGTCCACCTCTGCCCACCTGGAGGATTAGAGACTGAACTTCTATAAACAAAAATGTTTAAGCCTGCTGTCTTCAAATTTATGTGTGGAATGTCAAATAAATAAAAGAAAGACATCATACCACTGCACAATTCCTACTTTGAAAACTGGATGAAAATGTCTTCTTATTAACACAGAAGTGGCAGCTTACAAAGCAGTTAAATCTGAAGGCAAGAGCTCTCAGCCAAGAAAAATATGTCTGTTCCTGAATAAAAAGAAAAGACACAGAAAAATAATTCAAACTATAATAGCGTCCTGACTGAGGAATACTGGAAGTTGAAGTCCACACAGCTTCAAGGTGACAAGGTTGAGAAGCGTTGCATTAAAATGCCTGAATTGTCTGCAAAATGGATCCTTTCCTGTCTGCTTTTAGGCACAGCATCGGGCAGGGTGGGGCGGGAATGTTACTGTTTAAACAGAAGGAAGCTGTGTCCTACTACTAAAAAGGAACTTACATTAACACCCAACAACTTCCAGAAACTTTTAGTTTTTCTGTCTCATTCTTCTTCAAACCCAAATTTATACAAGCATTGAACAGTTTAAGTAAAGCATAACTTTATTATACTAAGCTGTGATGGCTTAATTGGAATTTTTACTCAGCTGATAAGCTAACCATCCACTGTGGCTTATAAACCCACACTTAGGGCTGACAGTTATGCATAAAAAAGGCCTTTATAGTATGTTCAGCAAACTATCATTGAAATAAATGATGAAACAAATGATGCCAGCAATTCTGTTGCCTAGATCTAACTTGTAGAAACGGGGACCTCATGTGCCAACTTGAAATCCATTTCTACAGTACATGGTAGGGCAAGAATTAAGTTGCTTCTTCTGACATGAATTATAATTGTCATCACAATTATAAAAAGAAGTGGAGATATTTTTTAATTGATACAAAGTTCTTTTTAAAAAAAAAAAAAGCAGACATTGAAAATGCAGTGGCAAAGATTTTAATTGAGGAAATAGCTGATCCCAAAGAAGGAGAACCTCTTTTTTGTGGGGGTGGGGAGGCAGAAATGTTGTGTGAATCATGAGCAGACAAAGACAAGCCTTTAATTGGCTCAGGGA